GGCCCCATATAACAATTAATAAGGGCTTTATAAAGTCTAAATTCATCTGCCAATACACTGGTCACATCAAGGAGCTAGGATGGGACAGGTTAAGGCTCCTGTCTACCAGATAATATTAATTGTTCACAAGTATTTTATCAAAGAATAAACACATATAATTAAAATTGATTGAAAATTTAGTAAATCTGAACATAAATTTTATATTTTAACAAGCCAAGTTTGTAACAAATATTTAAAAAAATAATAAAATCGTGAGTTACCTCCCTTGTGTATAAAATGCCGTTGACCACTGTGTCATTAGATGCCTTAGTATAGAAACGTAATACAACACCAGAAAGCCAGCAATTATATTTAGCTCTGTTTTCCTTCTGTTGTATTTTAGATACGCAGTTTTTGTATTTTTGAATGGTAGCTGCGTTCTTTTAATCACTTCGCAGATAGCCATCTAGTCGAGTCGGCTTTTAGCATCGTCGGTTGGATTTTTTACACATCGTTAGGTCGTTAAAATAAATCTTTTTTTTTATGTTTCTCAATGGACACAGACTATTATGGCTACGCACTGCTGCATGTTTCATTAAATGTTTGTGTTCAAAGCCCTCCGTTGACAGCCGTACAAAGACGGCGGATGCAGGGAGATTGAAGAAAATTGTTTTACTAGCAAATTGTACCCGTACAAAAACGACGGGGACAATAAAAATTATAATTATAATTGTGTGGAGTACTAGTCTGCAGTATGCCAAAATAAATATTAGAATACGCACTATAACGTGTATTCTTCTATAGTAGTTGCAAAACACTCGTTGTTGAATAGCTTTTTCTGCAAGTTTACTCGTAAAACAATATTTTAAAATCATCATATTTTTCATTATGGGCCCAAAACACATGGGGGCAGATGTATTTTTTTTTAATGACGGCTTAAAATGCTGAATTATGTTTGCAAATTTATTTTAAAAACTTTAAAAACTTGCATTACGTTTACAATATAAAAAAATTAAATGCTGTTATTTGTTTTAATAATTAATTCTAACAGATATTTTTTTTCATGAATAACTCAAATATATACATATTTAGAAGCAGTCTTGCATGTTTAAATATAGGCAAATCTAAAGTGTTGGAGTCTACGCTGGGGGGAGGGGTGGGTGGTTTCGAGTTCTATAATGTGCCAACCAAATCAAAAGCATCGTCGTAAAATGGCTGGAAAATGTTTCCATCAAACCTAACTCACAAGAAATTAAAAAGAGGTTATAAGTTCGTTCCATTAACGAACATTTTCTTTCCATATTGAATGAAATGCTGTTTGAAAAACTCCATTAACATTTTTACTTTCTCGTATATACGAAGTATAGAGAAAGTATTGTAATCGTGCACAAAAATCACTTGAAATTTTAACAATTTTCACCGTATTACACCTCAGTCCTTCATCACATCCGAAGTATAGAGGACTTATTTTAATCGGGCAAAAATTATCAATCCAGATTTATCAAAATTAAGAGGTTTTATGCGTAATCCAGTCTGAAAAACTGGGCTTTGCAATTCTGTCCGTATGTCTGTGTGTCTGTGTGTGTGTCCGTGTGTAAACACGATTACTTGAGTATCGTTATAGCTAGGTTGATGAAATTTCATATATAAGTATTTTATCAAAATCGTAGATCCGTATCAACTTTTGAGCGATTTCCGATAACCGGAAGTGGTACTTTTCCTACTTTGAATTTTTCAAAAGCCTATAACTTGAGTACTATTTCAGATAGATAAATGAAATTTCACATGTAAGTAAAAGATCTAATTCTCTACCTTCTGTTAAATTTTGAGTAATTTCCGTTGACCGGAAGTAGTAATTTACGCTACTTCCGATTTCTCAAAAAACTAATGTAAATTTTTAAAGTACTAATAATATTGCGCGCTATTGTGCACTTTTTTATTTGGCGTTCACTAGTTCACTTGGCGTGCAATTATTTTGTCTACGAGATTTTATTCTATTTTTAAAACTTTAAGTATTTAAAATGGATTAAAAATCATTTCAATAGCCCGAGTTCCCATCCCCTGTTGTTTTATATAAGAATATTCGAGAAAGTTTAGGGGAGATCACTCCCGGTTTATTTGTAAATGTATTGGTGCTAAGTAATATTGCGTCTTGTTTTTTATGACTTTTGTTTTATGTACACATTTTTTTGTGCCGTTACTCTTTAAGTTAACAGACATATCATTATTTGTGGAAGAAGTAATGTAAAAAAAAAATTTTTTTTAAACACCAAACTAGGCATAAGTAAAAAATGAAGTCAATAGAAACATTGATAAAGATCGCGTGATTTAATGGAGGGATTAAACACTGGGAAAAGGCTCTATAATACCGTAGAATAGAGTTTTATTGAGGAATTTGATCGCAACACCCGTACCGTGCCACCATCTAGATTAGGGAACAGACATACCGATAAATAGACAAACAAGAAGATGTATATTATGTATATCTCTCTGTTGACCAAGCATCAATCAAGATAAAAAATAATAATAATATAGCGTTTTACTTTCTTTAACCAATGTATTACAAACCAAAAAAAAAAAAATGGAACCATTTTTACCACTCATTCAGACATCGCAATTGTCTCCTGTTCAATGAAGCGAATCAGTGGACTGAAGACAAACAAGTAGATGTTTACATATATCTCTGCTGCCCAAAGCGTCAATAAAGAAAAAAAACAACTAATCTTCAATATAGCCCGGAGCCTTTTTACTTTCTTAAACCATCGTAACACAAACCATAAAATTCTGAACCATTTTTACCAGTCACTCAGGCATGGCAATTGTCTCCTGTTCAATGAAGCGAATCAGTGGACTGAAGAGAAATTAAAGTATCCGCCCGCCACTGAATGAACCCCGTTGATATCGATACCATTCGATGCTTCAAATCAGGGGAACGAACTCCGATGCAATATATCCAAACAAAGAACATCAGCATTATGGGCCCTTTTGTGTGGGGTTTTTAGATCAATAGACGTACAACTCCACTTTGTGTTAAAGCTATTGTGTTTTTCTCATCGACGCGTCGGTGAATGGTTGTGGTCTAGTTTGTGACCACAGAAAATGGTAAAGCTTTGGTTTAGATTGTTGTGTATGAGTGGCCATAGTGCCTGTTGTTGGATTACGCCGTTCGATTACGTAATGCAGCGCGAGTACTTATTAAGTGTTGGTAACAAGTATCATAATAACAAGAATCATAATAAGGGGGAGGAAGGGGGTGGAATAATCAACACGACAGCACAAATAGAATATGGCTAACATAATCAATATTTGTTTTTTTTTCTTCGTTCTTAATTAAAATATTGTATTTAATGAATTAACAAAGTCAACTTGGTACGCGCGATATATTCAATTAACGCCGGCTACAGCTTGCTTTTTACAAGCTTTTATTTAACTTGCTTCCTCTGTCGTCAGTCGTCCTCTGTCGTCCTCTGTCGTCAGTCTGTCGTCAGTCTGTCGTCAGTCTGTCGTCAGTCTGTCGTCAGTCTGTCGTCAGTCTGTCGTCCGTCTGTTGTCAGTCTGTCGTCAGTCTGTCGTCAGTCTGTCGTCAGTCTTCCTCTGTCGTCAGTCTTCCTCTGTCTTCCTCTGTCGTCAGTCTGTCGTCAGTCTGTCGTCAGTCGTCCTCTGTCTTCCTCTGTCGTCAGTCTGTCGTCAGTCTGTCGTCAGTCGTCCTCTGTCTTCCTCTGTCGTCAGTCTGTCGTCAGTCTGTCGTCAGTCTGTCGTCAGTCTGTCGTCAGTCTGTCGTCAGTCTGTCGTCAGTCTGTCGTCAGTCGTCCTCTGTCTTCCTCTGTCGTCAGTCTGTCGTCAGTCTGTCGTCAGTCTGTCGTCAGTCTGTCGTCAGTCTGTCGTCAGTCTGTCGTCAGTCTGTCGTCAGTCTTCCTCTGTCGTCAGTCGTCCTCTGTCGTCAGTCTGTCGTCAGTCTGTCGTCAGCCTTCCTCTGTCGTCAGTCGTCCTCTGTCGTCAGTCTGTCGTCAGTCTGTCGTCAGGCTTCCTCTGTCGTCAGTCTTCCTCTGTCGTCAGGCTTCCTCTGTCGTCAGTCTTCCTCTGTCGTCAGGCTTCCTCTGTCGTCAGGCTTCCTCTGTCGTCAGGCTTCCTCTGTCGTCAGGCTTCCTCTGTCGTCAGGCTTCCTCTGTCGTCAGGCTTCCTCTGTCGTCAGGCTTCCTCTGTCGTCAGGCTTCCTCTGTCGTCAGGCTTCCTCTGTCGTCAGGCTTCCTCTGTCGTCAGGCTTCCTCTGTCGTCAGGCTTCCTCTGTTGTCAGTCTTCCTCTGTCTATCTTTGTTTAAACGGCAAGCGAAATTTCTATTACTTCTAACCGATCAATTTCTCTGAAATTGGACACTTGGACAATGCAATATTATATTACATTCGACTTAATTGATGTTTACTTATTTGTTTTACTACTATCCAGCACTATTATACGCGCTTTGTCAAGTTCAATAGTTCAATAGTTGTCATGCGCAATAGTTCTTAGTTGTAAGACTCTATAGGCTTGAAAAGGTAGTTCCAAATGTTTGTTGGCAGAAAGTACAACATCCTGACTCTACTAATCAAAATTAAAAATAAAAGTTTCGCTAAATTACTATTATATTTCTTGTAATTATTTGTTTGAATATTTCTAGGCTTAATAAAAACGGTAGTAATTTTGAACTTATTTCACACATTTTTTGATAATATTCAATTTTGGTTGAAATTATACTTTATGGCAACACAAATTCGGAATTATTTGGAACCTGCTTTTCAAGCCTCTTGTGTATCATTTATAAAGTCGCCATAAGGGAGACTACCCTTTAAATGATATCTTATATAAGTTACATCCCTTGGTTATTATTTTTAAAAAAAAATATACATAAATATTATCTTACTCATACCTTATCTAGGTTTATCTAATACACAACAAATAAAAACAGACTGTAGATAAAAAATAATTTATATTTTTTTTACTTTTGAAGAAAAATATTTTTTTATAACTGTAAGACCTATAAAATTTGCATCTACAGTTCTTTCCCCTTCCCGCCGAACTGCAGAGACCGAGCAAAGTGTTTGATGTAGGAGGCGTCCATCCAGACCAAGGTCAGGAACACCAGGGTCAAGGTCACCACCCCGATATAGCCCACGGCCTGGGAGTAGGTGCGGTCATCCATGACGGAGTATTTTTTCCGCTTTGTGGCTGAGAGACTCTGGGAAATAAGGCACATTTTCATTAAGTCGGCAGTATTTTAACCATGGGGTATGGGATACCAAGGTCTCCGTTTAGTCAACGTTGTGAAGTAAAGTTCCCTTTTTAAACCTGACGGTCTATAGGGCAAGTGAAGTAGAGCTCACTTGTTTGTTTCTGTGACCTCGGCATATGAAGAGATAGTGTGGTCAGCACTATGCCCAGCCGCCTTCACTTTCCCTAACGTGAGTTAGGTACCCGTCAGAGTTGGGTGAACTCAGGGACGGTCTACTGACTTAGTCAACGTTATAGCTGTTTAATTATTGGTAACATTAGTACTAGGCAAGAGTTTAATTTATACATAATATGATACGTTTTCTTACATTATTTTGAGCTACAAAGCCTACCATATTTAACTAATAATTAAGTTCGATTAAGGCGTAGCATAGAGGCAGTAGACTAGATTACATTTTACCGAAATGATTTTGCACGCTCACACGTCTATAAAATGTCTACAAAAGCCGACATCCAAAAGGTCGACAAGACAAAAGGCCGACTAGGACAAAAGGCCAACATGGACACAAGGCCGACAGGCAAAAGACCGACTGGATATAAGGCCGACATACTATAAGGCCGCCAGCCAAAAGGCCAAAAGCCAAAAGGCCAATAGCCAAAAATGCCGACAGCCAAAAGGTCGACAACCAAAAGGCCGACAGACCATAAGGCCGACAAAGTTTTGAGTGCCTTTGTCCATGTCGGCCATTTGTCCGTGTCGGCCTTTTATCCATGTCGGCCTTTTGTCTGAATCCCCTATTTACGGTATAAGTGTAAGCTCGACTAATCTTAACTCTCCACTCACCTCCTTATCAAGTAACAGATTATCTCTAATCTCGGTCGCTCGCTGGATCGTCTTAATCCTCTCAAGGTCAGTGACCTTGTTGTCAGTTAAGTCACACACACACCAGCAGTCAGACGGCAAAGCAACCGCCGTCTCATTGTCGTCTGCTATGGTGGCAGACGTGGAAACTTCTGGAGATATTCAGAAGACGGTGCTATATTAGATATGTGTGTACCTTTACCTACAATCGGTATGTATGTGTTCGTACCCAGGGAGAGATAAGCAACCCATCTAGGAGAGACAACTCCAAATTTTTTTTTAAAACTGCTGCCTTGTAGTTTGTTCTTGGATGGACTAAGGTAGTGAAAGAAAATTCAGCAAGAAACGCTAGTTGAGAGCGGAATCATCGGGTCATATAACGCATAACACGTTGACAAGAAACATTTAACTGTGTTGGGAAAATTCATTACTTATTAAAAATAAGAACGACGAAGAAGAGTTAAGTTGATATAAAGTTTATATATTAAAATAATCTATTCGAAACAATTTTTATGTGAGTACCTTGGCATTGGGCTATCTGTACTTGATGAAAGAGACCTGAAAATCAAAGGATAGAAATACATTTTTTTCTCACTATTTTCAAAGTTTGGCAGGTGGAGTTCTATTTAATATCAACAGTCAAATTAAATCGATAAATAAATAATATTTAAATTTATGCTGATAATATTTTAGACTAATTTATTTAAAATTTAAAGATACGTATGCCTAAATTTGGAAAATCAAACTGTCTGGTATAATAATACATTTAACACCAGACCATTTTCCCCATCAAAATCTATCGCATTATTGTATGATTTTATCTTCTCTTTCCTTTCATTTTATCATACAAAACATTACATACAGCTTAGAATTTATCCTATACATTGTATGTGAAATAACGAAAGAAGATGTCCACGTACATTATGTTACACAGAAGAAAGTAGTTTTTAGACATACAATATGTTATTTTAAACAGAACTGGAAAGGCGTGGTCGAAAGTTGACGCACACGACTACAAACACGAAAGTCTTGTGGTTTAACCCCAGGTTCGAGTCTGTAGAGGCTTACATAGCACTGACCACACACTCTCCATTTAGGCTTAAGTTATTGTGACATCTTAGACACGAATACGAAATGATAATGACGCTTAAGCAGAATTATACCGACATATAATTCGTTGCTCGCCGCAAAAATTTTGTAATATAAAATGGTCTATTGCAATGGTTGTTAACCTTTTTGGAAGTACCGAACCCCACCAGTTTCAGATTCGAATTCATTGAACCCTTCAAAATAATTATATCGTCCGCATTATCAAAATACGTTCATGAATCATGTAAGTCGGGTGTGTCTTGACCTCAGCCGAACCCTTGAATCTGACTCACTGAACCCCTGGGGTTCGATCGAACCCAGGCTAAGAACCACTGATCTATTTCAATAAAGTGTGTATGTTAAAACAGAATTTTGCTTTCTTCTAAAAAAAAATTGTAAAATACAAAATTTGTATTAAAATAAGAAACAAAAAACTCTACTCACCAATACCAATCAATATAACAAAACATACATGGAATTTATTGTAATCCATCAAATCATCCATGTGTACGAATCATGTATCAAGATCTAGGCTATATAATAATAAATTCAAAGTACAGTAGCTTCCAGTACATATAATCACATAAGGCCTGTTTTCCTTATTCACATAACACTATAGTGTTCACACTTTAGCGATTTCTTCAAGCTAATGACACATTGATAAGACTGAAAGTCACTTCACCCTGAGCTCATAATAGATCGAGAATAGATTTTTGTATGCGTCACCTATTGGGGCTAATTTGATTCAGGTAAAGAACAGGAAAAGGTAACTACAGTTTTTCCATAGTGGGATTTTTTTCTCAATTGATTTTAAGGTCTGGGTGGGGTTTTTTTCTTACTTGGGCCATCATTGTGTGATTTAAAATGACGATCTAATGAATAATACTGGAAAAATATTTGATTACAATAAAGGACAAACGTAAAAAAAAATGGTGTTGAACCTCATCGAACCTGAAGGTCTACGGGGATAGATGCAGTAGAGATTACCTGTTTCTGTACATCTTTGTTTGAAAGGATAGTGTGCTCAGCTATCTTTACTTTACCAAATATGAGAGCTGGGTGACACAAGCTGGTATTTGAACTCGAAACTTTGAGATTACCATTCGCACGCTCTACCGTCCATCCACGCCGTTACATAAGTGTGCCATTGATTAGATATGAACTAAGACATTATACCCACTAAGGATTAACTTTCTGATTAGGATGGGCTAGTATTATTTTAAAACTCAAACTGTTTTATTTTTAAAAAATCTAACACCAAACTTAAATGATTTTTGAATGTCGACACAAAGAAATAATATTTGATTATTTTTATTAAAATTATATTTCATTAGAAATATTTGAATAAATTATAGACATAAACAAGTAGGCTATACTACTCAGGTCTAAGAGCAGTTAGTGTGTATCTGAATCAAAGCCTAGAATAGATCGAACGCGCTATTGGTGAGGTAATCGATTTACCATCAGTTACCTCCAATTTATGCATATCAGGTAAAAAGGCGGGTGCTTTCCCTTAGATGGCGTACTTTAGGTTTCCGATATATATCTTGGGCTGGAGTCATTGATTTTCCAATCAATAATTATCGACAGTTCAACGAATAATATTGTACATTAGTGTGATACATATAACTAAAGCATATGTATAAAAGCATATTTATAAAAGCATATATATATATATATATATATATATATATATATATATATATATATATATATATATAAATATATATATATATATATATATATATATATATATATATATATATATATATATACATATATATTATATATATCTACATCTACATCTACATCTACATCCACATCCACATCCACATCTACATCCACATCTACATCTACATCTACGTTTAAATATTTTCTATATTTATATCTATATCTATTTAGATTTATACCTTTATATATATATATATATATATATATATATATATATATATATATATATATATATATATATATATATATATGTATATTAATATATATCTTTATATTTATAAAGATATATACGTTCAAGCTCATTGCATCTTCCATAAGTATTAATGAAAAATATCCAGGTAATATAATCAAAGGGAGGTAACATGACTATATCTAGACGATGTGTATTTCTTTTAGTAGTTTCCCTATTTCCCTATTCACAAAAAAAGTTGTAAATAATCCATAAAGAAAAGCAATTAATAAAAGGGTTTCTATAAGGTTTTAAGCAGATTATAAAAACAAATAATATATAAATTATCACAATGATACTCACTCTTATAATTATAAATATAAACATGTATATAAACAAATAAATAAATATATATGTATATATATATATATATATATATATATATATATATATATATATATATATATATATACACGTATATTTTTATATCTATAAATACTTATATGTACATATATAGTTGTTTATAGCGTGGTGAGCACTATGCCCATAAACATATTCTTCCATAAATGTATACTTGCACATATTTTTTAGAATCTCGATTGTAATTTTTTAAGATGAGAATCAGTAGGTACTTTGTTAGTTTATTAAATCAAAATAGATTATATATATTTAAAAACAAGTAACAATAATTACAATAATTGTACTTGAGCATATGCCCATAGTTACCATATGCCCATTGTTACCATATGACGATTGTTACCATATGCCCATAGTTACAATATGCCCATTGTTACCATATGCTCATTGTTGCCATATGCCCATAGTTACCATATGCCCATTGTTACCATATGACGTTTGTTGCCATATGCCCATAGTTACAATATGCCCATTGTTACCATATGCCCATAGTTACCATATGCCCATTGTTACCATATGCCTGTTAATGGTGTACCGGTCTTAATCGATTTTAGACGAATAACATCTATTTTCGGCTTAAATAAGTTTAGCTATGAGAGTAGGCCTATAAGCCCAGACACATACAAAAGTAAATTGAAGAACAAGATATCTGAAAGTGCATACGTATTCTTCTAAGGTATTTTTAGATTCCAGAATCGTAATATTTCACATAAAATTTTATTTTAGTTTAAAAAAAAAGTTTGTTATAGATTTAGAGAATATGAATGATAAATAGGAATATCCCATACCGAGGGAAATTCGCAAGGATTTAATATAACAAAACTAATTTAGCCGAATTACCTAACTTGGGAGGAAAACTTTAATGAAAGGGGGCTAACTCTACCCGGATCTGTCCACCTTCAATCTGATACGTCAAGGAGAGATAATGATCTCTCTCCCCAGTATAACAACTCTTTTTCCATGCTCCAGATACCGACTTAATTCCCCTTGCTTGCCTTTAATTACATGGACTTCAAGCTGTCAGGTCCGTGAATGAGATAACTCTGGAAAGAAAGTTTAGAGTTCCGGAACTCTGATTCTAACGCAGGCCAGAGTTTTTCCCCCTTGACAGGGGTTCGTTAACTCTTCTCTAATCTTCTATCGCGATCGTCTGCCCGCGTTATCGAGAAGCTTCTGTTTCCTAGAATACAATAAGAAATTGTATAACATTTTTTTTTTATAAAGGAAAATGTGCAAGAGAATTTTAACTAAGGGGAGGTTATCTAAATAATTAAAATATAATAAAAGACGAGTTATCTTAATGTAATCTCAAGGCTGGTAACCCAAACGTCTCGAGTTCGAATCCGGATACAAGTCAGTGAAACGTCCCTGGGTCCATCCAGCTCTAATAGGTACGTAACTCATGTTAAGGAAAGAAAAGGCGGCCAAGCAAAGTGCTGCCCACACCTTCCCTTTTTATGCCGAGGTCAAGAAATATATGAACTCTAAGTCATCTAAAAAGCGATCTCTAGGTCTAAAGTGGATTCTTTTTACTTTACTTTAATAAGTATAATGTAACAAATTTGAACGCGGATTTGAACTCGAGAATCTTAGTTGATGCCATATCTTAAGTAATAAGTGTACCGAAATAGTATATACGCAAATAAACAATGCACAAGCAAGTATACGCAAGTAAAAAATGCACAAGCAAGTATATAATGTACAGGCAAGTATAGAGTGCACATCCAAGTCTAGGGTGTACAAGTAATTTAGAAAATTATAAGCAAGTATATAATGTTAAAGAAAGTATATAATTTAGAATCAAGTATAGAGTGTAGAAAAAATAACAGATTTCACATTATATATAAAGTTTATATAAAGTTTATAATTTACAAGAAAGTATAGAAAGTATAGAGTGTAGAAAAAATACTTTACATCATGTGTAAAGTTTAGAAGCATGTAAAGAATTTACAAGAATGAGGAGAATGACAATGTATAGAGTGAAGAAAAAATTGGCTTTACATTATGTATAAAGTATACAAGCAAGGAGGCATATAGAATTTACAATAAAGTATGGAAAGTATAGAGTGTAGAAAAATAGACTTTACATTATGTATAAAGTATACGAGCAAAGGCTTATACAACTACAAGAATGTATAGAATGTTAAAAAAATAGACTTTACATTATGTATAAAGTATACGAGCAAAGGCCTATACAACTACAAGAATGTATAGAATGTTGAAAAAATAGACTTTACATTATGCATAAAGTATACGAGCGAAGGCCTATAGAACTACAAGAATGTATAGAATGTTGAAAAAAATAGTCTTTACATTATGTATAAAGTATACAAGCAAGTAGGCCTATAGAACTACAAGATTGTATAGAATGTTGAAAAAATAGACTTTACATTATGTATAAAGTATACGAGCAAAGGCCTATACAACTACAAGAATGTATAGAATGTTGAAAAAATAGACTTTACATTATGCATAAAGTATACGAGCGAAGGCCTATAGAACTACAAGAATGTATAGAATGATGAAAAAAATAGTCTTTACATTATGTATAAAGTATACAAGCAAGTAGGCCTATAGAACTACACGAATGTATAGAATGTTGAAAAAATAGACTTTACATTATGTATAAAGTATACGAGCAAAGGCCTATAGAACTACAAGAATGTATAGAATGTAGACAACATAGACTTTACATTATGCATAAAGTATACAAGCAAAGGCCTATAGAACTACAAGAATGTATAGAATGCATGCGCAAGTAAACGCCTACCCAGCCACGAACGCACGCCACATATTGATTTAGGAATCATATTGAATTAACAGTGTCTAATAAATCAGTTTTCCCAAAGCGATCAACTTCCGGATCATTTTATTCACGTGACGTATTGACATTGTAACCATGACAACATAATTTTATGCGCGATCGCCACAGCTTCCTAAATTTTTAGTTGAATTAATTAATAAAGCCTTTTTTTGTTTTGATCAATGACGACCAATATAGCTTAATTAAGGCGTTAATATTGATTGAGGTAATTGTGTTGCTTAATATTTTATATAGGTTACAAAAATGACATTTATATAGAAAATAGATACTTTTAACGGTGTCCGTCCCCCCCCCCCCCCCACCACTCCCCCCAAACGAAATGAAATTTATATAGAAAATATATACTTTTAACGGTGTCCGCCCCCACAGAGGAAAGTCTACCACCCCCACCCCCGAAAATTTCAAGTGCCCCCCCCCCCCCTCCCCCGGAGAAAAAAGTCTGGAAGAAACACTGGACGAGAGACTAGACATTCTCACACTGAGATAATATTCTAATTGAGAAATGTTTTTATTTATTTATTTTTATTT